AAGTGTACTTTTTTATGTAAACTATTTCTGGTGCTTTAACTTAAGTTGCCTACAAATACAAATGTATCTTTTCTACTGTCAAACAGCTTAAAATGCTCTCACCACTGACAGGTCTACCAGGTGCTCTTGGTCTTGGTGAAGTGCTCAACATATCCCCCTTACTACCATCCAGAATGGAACGACCAAATATGGCCTCCAATTCTTTAGCATCTGGAGGAGGGATGGGGAAGCGTCCGATGGACAGCTCTACAAGGGACAGTCCCATACTCCACACATCTGACTGCACTGAATAGTTGGTCCCCTGCAATCTCTCAGGCTACACGTCAAACGTAACAAGAAAAAGCAAAGTCAAGGATTAACATCACATCAAAAATAGTTACCACTGCTCAAGCATTAAATCATAATTTGAATAGCTATAACAAACAATTAAAGTTAGACACAAAGACAAGAGAGTGGAGGAATGCCAACGATTTATTTACAAGGTATAATGCAGAAAGTACCAACATACCGACATGTACGATCTTGTCCCAACAAAGGAATTGGCCATAGAGTCTATGAGCTGCCCGCTAACACCAAAATCACACAACTTGATCTCCCCACGCGAGTTCACCAGCATGTTTGAAGGCTTCACATCTGGGGGTTAAAGAAATATTTTCTTAGACAAAATGCATATAGGGTGGTTTATGAATTTAAATTTACTGACTGCAACCCAAATGCTAACAGAATAGCTGGAATGTTATACTTACATTTTCCAGCCCTAACCCCTTACACACAGCTAGATTTGACTTTTCCTTACAGATAAAGCGCCATGTTATGGAATATATGAATCACTAATTAACTGAGAAAAAAACACTACCTCTATGCATGATTTGGTGTTTTTCTCTCAGGTAGGCAAGGCCTCTCAAAACCTGTTGAAAGGAGAAATTACACAAGTCAATAATCCTCACATACTGTACGTATGAAACCGATTGAGACTGCTGATGTGTGTGTTTGTGTCTTGAGTCCAGGGTCCGAAATTAACTTTTTGACTCACCGGCCAAACATATTTTTTTTTACCGGCCAAAATAACAAATTTTGTTTTTGTGTCCCATACACATCTGTTACAGTACATTTAATTGAGAAGGCATTATGTTTTGTTTGATCAATCACAAATTTAAGTCACAGATTCGATCATGTCATCAGATCAGGAAATTGAGAAATTGTAAAAAAAAAATATATTTGTTGGCCTTAATTTTTTTCTGAATGTATTATTTGTAGGCAGTAGTTCCTAGAGTGTGTGTGTGTGTGTACGTTTGCGCTGCAATCTATGTTGGTGCGTCTCAGCGTGCCCCGCGATGCTCACAGACAGTCATGACAGCAGAGAGAGGAGCAGGGAAAAGTAGCTGCAGCTAGGCTACATCAAACACGCTGAATACTTATAGCATAGTTTTTATGACTTTTTGATAAAACATTTAGCCGCACTGTGGCGGAGAGCCCTCTGAAAAGTACTCGCCAAACAGAAAATCTACCCGCATTTGGCGCTTGGCGGGTGTTAATTTCGGACCCTACTTGAGTCCATGGAACACTTTTAGCTTGATAGATTAAATTGACAGAGACGGGTGATGTGAGGACAAAGAGTCTTAGTTTTCAAAATATTTAATAATACAAATAAATTCACACTACCCACTGTGTTGTCAGTGCCAGTTACACTACATACAATGAAAATATAAAAGAGGATAAGAATACACTACTTACAGCAATGCTGACTTTGCCCAGAATCTCTTCAGGGATCCTCTTAGCTTCTTTGAGCACCTGGTCCAGAGATCCACCATCCTGCATAAAAACAGGTAATAAAAACACAATATGTCATGATAGAGATTTCTAAATGCACATTTTGTATAAAATTACAGTTCAAAGGATGACATATTTTCAAATATTTCCCTATACATATAATACATTTACAGGTTCATTACTTCTAATATGTACAACATGCATATCCTTTTCAAGAAAATGTATGTTACAGTGCTGCAGAGTTTCAAGTTAAATATCATCACAATGAAACTGCTTTACATTTTTACTTCAAATCATACCGAAGACAAGTTAAATGTACTCATTTTTAATCTGACAGCTGCTTTTGGCAAGAAGGAATCATTTGAGTCACGCGAAATGGATTTGCATTTGAATAGCTAATTGATTGCTGTTTAACAATAACCTTACTTACAGAATGAAAAATAAACAGGTCACTGAGGATCTTCTATTTTCCCCTGATTCAATGTTACAATACGTAAAATAGGTACAAAAGGAAACTAAGCTTTTTGAACCTGACCTCATGAGATAACATGTGCCTAAGGTGAAAAGAACAACATTTTCAGTCTGGGGATAATAAAAATGATAACAAAGATTATAATAACTACATTTAAAGAGCACTTTTCAAAAACAAGTCATAAAGTGCTTTACAATTAAAACAAGAAAAAGCAGTAAACGCAAATACACTCATCAGCAAACACTAAAACAAATAAATACAATCAAATAAACATCAATAAAATTATACATCAAAAAAAACATGTGGGGTGTAAACCACAAAGCCAATGGTTAACAAAGAAACACCCAACAAAAGTGAGTCTTAAGAAGAGTTTAAAAAGAGGACACTGCACTCAGTGCCTGCCTGACATCACCAGGTCAGGAGTTCCACAGCTGTGTAGCCAGAACTCAAAAGGCTTAGTCACTTTTTAACATCAGTCAAGTTTTAGGAACCACTAGTGGGGCCCCGATAGAGCTTCTCATAGGGTGGGTCACAGGAAGTTAGGAAATCACGGATTTAGAGTGGGGTCTGACCATTTAAGGCTTTAATAAGATTCTTAAAAAATGACTTCTCAAGCTCAAATGTAGCCAGTGAAAAGCAAGGACAGGTGTAAAGTGGTCACTGACTCACTTTTCTTGCTACATGTTAAAAGCCAATCAGCAGCATTTTGCAGTCTATGGATGTTATGCTAATGCCGTGATGACCTGCTCTATGCAGAAATACTGATCATACCTTTTTGTCCAGTAACCCTGTATCATTTCTCTTACCATGTTCTCCATGCAGATGCTGATCTCTCCATCGTTGTAAAACGCTCCATAGAAGCCCACAATGTAGGGAGAGTTACACTCATGCAGAACCTGAAGCTCACGGATGATTTGGTTTCTAATGGCAGGTTTGATTTCAAGATGAATGAGCTGAACAGAAAAGACAATAAGAACAACCAAGGTTTTTCAGTGTGATCACTTTGTGAAGGTTAGCAGCAGTCAGTATACTTTTTTTTTTTTAAAGCAGAAACACAATAAATCATATTCTTATCAATAATGTTATGTCTTAATAAGTAACCTTTCGGGCCATGATTATTCCAGAGGGTTTGTGGCATTCCTTATTGACGACTCCTCCATTGCCGGCACCAAGCTCACAAATACGTTGGAAGTCATCATCTCTCAATTCGCCCACCTTGGCCTTCTGGGTAAGGAAAGCTTCTAACCTTTTCTTCTGTTGTTCATCCAGGTCCAGCTCTTGCAATATCTTTTTAAGTGCTTCTAAATTGGCCCTGAGAAAATGGGAAAAGAATAGGAATTAAAAAAAAAAAAAATAAGATGACAAAGTGACTGAAATATTAACTTAACATAAGAGGATGTTAATTAGATGGAAAACAAACTTACTCAGATGCAACTTCAGTGTTGATGGAGGAAGAGAATCCTCCCCCAGTTGGAGCAATGTTTAGAGGCACTGGTCTTTTCTTAGGAGCCATGCTTACTTGAGGATTAACTATAAGCCTTAAGTGACTACAAATTATAATTTACTTCGCTTACTGGTTGGGAAATAACGTTATTCTTGTGCGAACGCCTGCAGGATAAATAGCAAATGTAGTTTTTAAGACATTTGGTAGAAGCTATTTTCATTAACCACTGATAACCTTTGAGTTTCCTGTCTATGTTAAAAGGTAGGACATTTAACACAGCTAAACATAACCCAAATCAGCTAAACGTGTCCGTAATATACACAGACTTGGCCTCAGAATCTGCTCGTGTGAGTCTTTTATGATTCACCATCAAAAAAAACTTAAGTGCACGCAATTTACGAGAGTTGCTAACCTTAGCTCGTTTGCTAACTAGCTGGAGGAGTTAAAGAATGAGACGCGAAGGCAAGCACGACAACCAGTGCTAGGGTCACGACACTAATGGGAAATGTGTGAATTGTAAATTAACTTAGACTAAACTAGCTACAACGTAACGGCAAACAAAATATCTTCAAAACAAGAGCCATCACCGGTAGCTAGCTAACTTCATCTGCTAGTTCGCGGCATCCCCACTGATAGTGAAAGTACGTGTACCGCTGATAACAACAACTGTTTCAATATACAAGCGCTTCCTCTGCTGTCTGCAATCCAGATGTTCAGTTAAGAAAGCCCAGCTTAATTTACTTTTCGTGTCACTCAGTGTATCCTGGTCCCTTCACTGTCAGGTGAGGTGTCACTCTGCAGGTTCACACCGGGGTCCGTAGCAAAAGCTACTGATGCACACGATATCTCGTCTCATCTCGCGATATTTCGGTGATGTGGCTAGTCAGCTGGGTAGTAAGCTTAATATTTACTGTCTATGGTAGTAACGAAATGTTTTGGTATCACATACAAGTAGAATTATAACATTTGTCATTTAACACAGGTTCCCAGTGTTACAATTATATTTACAGTCCATGATCATAACGCGAATTGTAATCTTAACATTGACTGCCTATTAGTGTCAATTAAGATTGATATTTTTGGTCGTGATCCACCTGGTACAAGAAGCTTTTGATTCTGAACACCTGCTCTAATGGAAACTGCTTTGTTTTCCTGGTTTGTAGAAAAAAAAAATCACAGTAAATTATGTCTGTGCCCATTTTTGGTGTGCCTATGACATTTGCAATCATTATCTTAATCTTACAGATGATTATGTGTAAACATTGAACATTTAAAGCTTAACTGAACTGTTCTATACAAATGTTTACAGACAGACACGTGTTGCTATTTATTTTCATTTTCATTCAAGCAAGTTCAGAGAAACAACAAACAATTTTAGTTTTTCAACAAGAAACCATAGCCAAGTTGTAAAAGCTAGGTGCCTATTTTTTTGTATGAAAATTTGTTGCAAATATTTTTTATGATGACATGCTTTCCGTGCTGGTCAAAGGAAATTTCTCTCTAACATTTGTGATGGGTGATTGAGTGATTGCTCGTCTCTTGCCATGGACTTTTCTTTCAGCAGAGGGCGCTCTTGTTCATCTATTGACAGCCCTTGGTTGTATCTGACTGGGCTGAGGCTGTTTTCTATTGACAGCTGAAGCTTAACGATACAAAAAGGAAAGAGAGACAGATATACAGAGAAAAAGTGTTAGCTTTTTTCAAATATTATTCAGTTGGCTCTAAAACACTTTTTCCCTTTGCTTACTGGTTTCTGATTTAACCCCCCCCCCCAAAAAAAAAAAAACCCAAAACAAACAAACAAAGCAAATATGTGGTAAATGCAGTTAAAGTATCGTAAATATTACGTAAGAGTAAGACCGTATGTAGGTCACCACATTTGATTGCTCAAGTTTCATAGAACTGCCATCTACCACATAACAAGCTTTACGTCTGGTTATTATTCACACATTTACACCCAGTAAAAGATACATACTTTCTGATGGGTTTGGCCTGGCTGATAAGATCTGGAAGTTTGTTGTTTCTGGTGTCTGGTAGCAGCATACTAACAGCAGCAGCCATGATGCTAATTGTGCCAAAAATAATGTACGGCAAGATCTTGCTGTAGACACCTACAAAACAAATTAAAAGAATGTGCGTTAAATATATATGTCTTGTGTTTTTTTCCATTGGTTGCAATCAAAGGACTTGTACAGAGAGACTTTGTCATGTAAGAGTAGGAAATGACGGTTGTAATGAGGCCTCAGTTCCATTGAGCTGCTTCAGTTTCAGTTTCCTGTCATGCGTGCGAGCTTGCTGTCATTATTTACCAGGACACTTGAATTTAACAGAGCTGTGGTAAAAGTTCAAAGTAACACCTGCACTTGTCCAACTATGGAGAGTGAAAATGTTTGTGAAAAGGAGCTATGAATGGGTTAGAGATTGTCTACATCTCTCTTTTTCGGTTTAGCATTTATAAATTAAAGGGGCGCTCCACAGTAATTATTTACCAAGAAATATTATGTTGCAAACTACCATAGGAATTTTCAAAATCTTTTGCAAGGGATTTACATTGAAATTCTGAACATTGTATTTTCAAACTGTTCACTCAAGTGTACTGTCATAGGGAAGTGAGTAGTTGTAGAGTTTTAATACTGATCCTTCTCTTTCATGCAGATGATTTTTGTTTCAATAGTGAACACAGATAAAGAATCAAAACAAACAAACAAACAAAAAAATGAATTTACCACTTACCCACATATACCACAAAAGGACAAATGACGGTGCCTATGCGAGCCGCTGTGGATACCATCCCTAAGCCCATGTTCCTGACCACGGTTGGGATCAGTTCAGTGAAAATCACATAAATGAAGCTGTACGCACCAGACACGCCCATCTTTCCCACCAAGACCAACACCTGGAACATGACAGGCATGTCTAAGAAAAAGAACAGGTTTACTAAACAAGCCAGGTATAATTTTACGAACCGAATTAAAGTTAATTTACTCATTTATTTAATTTATTGAATTAGGACAGTGCACATCAATCAACATATCAGCAATATGCATCTATGTAAATATGCGGAATTAGCACAATAGCTCAATTTCATCCGTAGTCCTATGAAATGGTACTAACAAGAAACATAAAACAAAACAGTGTGATTCAGTCAATATTCTACATAGACTCTGCAGACCTTCAGGAACCAGCTGGAGGAGCAGAAGCAGGATGCCACAGAACATCAGAGCAGTGAAGAGGAGGGTGGGTCGAGGCACACGTTTCAGCAGCACCCACATGGCTATGTACGCCCCGATGTCAATGACTGCTGAGAGGAAGCAGTTGAGGTAGACATTTCCATGCAGGCTGCTTGTATTGAGAGAGAGACCATAGAAGACCATGGAGACAGAGAGCCTGCAGAAATACAGAATCAAGACGGATAAAGATAGAGGGCGGTGTTTTAAAAACGTATTTAATCAAACTTCAGTAGATATTTGATTTGGTTTTATTTATCGAAGGTCAAATTTTTTTGAATTAGTGTCAAAAATTAAAAAGCCAGTATGTGAGTTGAACTTGCTTTTCTAAAATGCGGAAAATTGATTTTGGACCTGACATTATAAATCTATAAATATTTAATATATATCAAAAATATCAAAAAAAATTAACAAATGTTTTCTAAACAATATAACATTTATTTTATATTAAAAAAAAATGAAGGGTTAAGAATATACAAGTATGAATGTATTACACACTAATATTATCAAAGAGATAATGCCTGATGTAACAAATGTAGTCAGAGGTACATTTTCACAAAAACTCTCAAGTCGATCACACCATAAACATTACTGATCTTTTTTGCATCCTTTCCAAAACTGCACTGAATATTTATCACATTCTTTACAACAGGCTGTAGTAAAACATGACTCTATGTAGAATAACTTAATGGCTCTGGTGTCATAAACATATTCACAGTCAAATTTAGAAAGAAAACAGAAAATAAATTACATTACCAAATGAGATTTCCTAGAATTGTAATATTCCTCATGTTAGGGGTGCGTATCAGGTCCACATAAGTGTATGTGTGCACCTCTTCACCATTGTTTTGCTGTTTCAACATAAAGAAAAAGAAACAGAACAGTCCCATTGTGTACAGTGTAATGGTTGCCTCAGCTTGAGTCTCATTTAAAATGGAAAGAAACAAGCTTCAACATCATGAGCGAATATGAAATTAAATACCATTGACTCCAAGCAGTCTCCGGCTCTGAATATGATCTCAGGGGCGGGGACTCTGTTCCTTTTGGCTGCATTACGTATGACACGCTCAGCCTCCTCTAACCGACCTTTCTGCAAAAGCCAACGTGGAGACTCAGGAATCACCCTGAAGAGACAGAGAGGGGTAGAGAGAGACACGAAGTTAAGGTTGAGCTTATGCATCCATTTCAAAATAGGAGGCATTTAAGGAGATACATTTGCATAGATAACAGATGGATTTTAATCACTTAATACAATAACAAATCAGAACATGCAAATATTAAAGAAACATACGTGCACACAGTGTTGCATCAGTATCTAGTTTTGGGCTAAATCATAAAAAAAAAATAAAAAAACTCAAGAAAAGACAGAAGAAAGCAGAAATAGTAGGAAAGAGATAGAGGCATTTCAGCGTCTGATTGCATAAAGACTGACACTAGCCCCGTCTGGTATGTCATAACCCAGGCACAGAGTTGCATCCTTTTGATTTATTATCCAGCCCTGTTTACAACTATCTGCTGTCAGCCAACACATTTCCATACACAGCTGAGTGAAAGCATAAGCTCCAGTATCTAGCACAAAGTTCACTTAAATGTTGGTTTATGTAGAATGTATCTAACTGAGCTGTACAGTGTTCACAGATTGAAATTCATAATCGTTTTTGCAAGACATGGTGCAGGTGGACAAGGCTCTAGAGAACATAAACAAACAATCTGCAAACTCTACACACCACCTTATTCCATTTAAGATCATTCACAGATTTTCCAGCTGTATCCCCACTATAGTATATGACAAATGTCATAGTGAAGAAGTACGTTTTCGTACAGTTACGTCACTGATCCAAATTGTTTCTTTTTTTTGATTTTTTCAAACTATTTCAGAAATTTTGCACACAACACTGAAACCTGTCCCCCTTTTGTTGCTATTTTAGAGACTCTAATCAGTTTTCCAAGCTTAATGAATGACAACAACAATTTCTATCCTACACACTCATTATAGCAAAAAAACCACATCTTAATGTTTTGAGAAAAACATTAAGATAAACAACAGCTACATCTGTTAAATTATGGCTGGAAGATGTAGTAAAATTCAATAGCTAATAACTTAACCACATAAATAATCCTCTTTTGAGTTTCATGAAGTAAAGTCACGGTGGGGACTCAATAAAAAAAAAACATTTAAACCTTAATCATTTACTTTTCAATATGTTTTTTTTTTTGTGTGGAAATATGTATTATATTGTTTAATGACAAAAACAGCAATAAAATCAATAGACTAGATTCTGATAAATGCATACATTTCTTGGAAAATCAATAAAGTCCCAATGGTGCTGGGATCACTCATATACACATATAGAAAGAGCACAAAACAGTAAATATGAATTTAAATAGTTAGAAAGTATATATATTAAAAAACCCTCATGTGAGACATGGGATCAACAACTGATCAATAATAGCATTCAGCAGTCATTGACTCACCACCATGATGGAATAAATAAGAAGCTGGGGATGGCACTCGCAACCAGCAGCATCCTCCAGCCTCGTATGAAATAGGCAACAAGCGGCAACAAGGCATACCCGAGGCCAAATCCTACACTGTGACCCAGCAGAGTGAAGCGGACCCGGGAAGACTGGCCAAGCATCTCACAGCCTGAACATGAAGAAGATCGAGAGAATGAAAACTACACACAGAAAATAGTGAAGATTGACTGCAGCCATATTGAATTCATGCATCCTTCAACAGCCTGAGCACAATTCATGACTTTGCCTGAGGGGAACCACAGCACTGCCACGCTGCAGACACTAAGCTACACGGTGTCAAAGGAAGCTGTAGAGACTCTTTCAATACAAACAAAATGCATCAGCTGTCTCTCACCCAGTACAAGTGATGTGACATAATTGGATATCTGGCTGAGTCCTCGCAAACAGTTAAGGATACAGAACATCACCCAGCTAACGGAGGTGGCCTGGATCAACGCTGTGACGGTTTGTAAGACCATGGTGAAAAAAAACACCGGCTTTCTGCCAAACCTGTAAGACAATAGACAAAAACATGACATGAACAGAGCATTTAGATCCAGTAACACTGAATATTTGAGTGTTGTATAGTGCTGTATATCCATTATGTATATATTGTGATAAAATAAATAAAACCTGAGACAACAAAAAAGTGTAATATTGTAAAATAATTTCAAAAAAGATTTATAGGAGATATTAATTAACAGGTTGCATTGTGAAGTTAGTTAACCTTTCAATGTTTCCTTTGATTTTCATGCAAACTTTGTTTTAGTGTCTTATAGTTCCTTTCAGAGCTTTTTTTTCTCTTACTAAGCACCAAACATGCTCAAGGTTGAAGCTGGATTTCAAGTCATTTCTCCCCAGCGTTTCTTTTCAAGAAAAAGTGGGCAAAATAAACTATCCTTAAATAATAATCCCCTAGTTAGAACTGTTTAAAAATGCAATGATATATGTCTGCAATTTAATAACTAGGTTGAAAAAGGAAATTTGAAAATAGATTAATCCAACTCTTTTTTTTTAATCTATGGATGAAGCAAACTTGATCTTATATTGCAAGGAATTGTGTAACACATTTCACTTCTTTTTCCTGAGACTCACATAATTTGTCATAAACTGCTCTTTGGACTCTGTAACCATCAAATCCTAATTATGCTGTCTGTCAGGAGAGCAGCTCTGATTACAGGGGTGAATGTTAAAAATGTTCTCCTGGTATCTCACCCTAAAAAAGGAGCAGTAGCAGCTAAGATGTAATTAGCATTTTTGTATTTATGTAGGCCTAAATGTAATTCAGTTATTTTACACATCTTTTGTCATAGATTATTTAAAGATCTTTCCTTGAATACAATATTTTATTTTTCTCCAACACTGCTGTCCCACCTGTCTGATAGATGACCACTTATAAAGGATCCAATCAGGACACCTACAAAGAATAGGGAGGTGGAAAATGGGACCTTCCATGCATTTTCACACACCAGATCCCACTGTAGTTCACAAACAATAAGATTAGAATCGTTCGGATTAAAATCAAATGAAATCCAAACTAATCTAAAGCAATAACTGAACAGACAGTTAAATTGTGTTAAACTTGTAAACTTCTAATCACCAGTGCATATTACATATCCTAAGAATAATTAAGCAATGTAAATAAGGGCTATACATCACATCATTGTGTGCTTCATGATTTTGAGCACACAGGAATACAAATACAAGGTGCATAAAGAAAAACATAAAGCATGTATGTGGGTGCAATATAAGCCTACAGACGGCTCATATGAAAACAACACTCAGACGACATTTAAATGGAAGCTAAAGTCTATAAAAGCACCAAACTAACCAGATATCAGACATCACATATGAAGTAAAGACATTTAGTATTTCTGCATTACCTCAGACACAATAGTAGAGCTGTATCTCTCCGTGCTAAACACCCATCCGTCCACACATCGCTCATTGCTGATCGCTGACTCTGTCCCGTTGTCGGTCAACTTGTACCGTGAACAGCTGTCAGGTCCGATCCAGCTGCTCGTGCTCTCAACATCTGTGCCGTTGCGCGTGGAGTTGACTGACACTTTGCAGTGGTGCTCGGGCGTATCCGAGACGAAAACGACGATCAACCCCATGTACCCGCACGGAATTGCACTTAAACTGAGCAGAACTATGATCAGAACTTGAAAGAGGCCATAGTCTCCCAAAAAAGCCGTGCTCTCATCGAAGTCTCGGATTTTCTCCGCCGACATGACTGAGAGAAAAATGAACTGTGATGTCTTAGAATGAGAATGACGGTCTTGCAAAAAACAAACAAAAAAAAACAACAACCAAACAAACCAAAAAACACGGGTAACACAAACGTGTTAACCCGGTTTAAGACGTTATCCGAAGGCGTTTTGCATTCTTACTCCAAAAGGTCTCTGCAGACTGAAGTCGATTAAAGTTCTTTTTGAGACACACCAAAGTGAGACTAGATGACGAGTCCCGATTGACAGGATTGTGTCAGGTTGTCCTTAGAAGAGTTCAGAGTCAGAGCACAGCGCACAGAAGTCTTCATTGTGTTCTGGGAGTTTTGAAGGAGGCAATAGTTCAGTTTTATTAGTATGAAAAAATGACCGTAGCCATGCCAGGACACTACAGAGCAGATTAATGGCAAACAAGTAGTACATGTGCATGTAGTCTTAAAAGTACTAAATCCAATCATATCAGAATCACTGTGTACTTATGGAAGAATTTGTTTTTACAAGACATCAAAGTCAGAATAAAGGCTTATTATAGTGATTTATAAGGGGCTTTGACATTGGATTTCTCAAAAAGTACACAGTAAAAGTACTTCATAGTACATGTGCAGGTTGTCTAAGAAGTATTAAATCCAACCATATCAAAATCATTATGTACTTTTGGAAGAATTTGTTTTTACAAGACGTCAAAGTCCGAAAAAAAGACTCTGTAATATGACATATAAGGGACTTCGATGGTGGATTTCTCAAAAAGTACTAAGTAAAAGTACTTCATAGTACCTCTGCATGTAGTCTAAGAAGTACTTAGTCCAACCATATCAGAATCATTGTGTACTTATGGAAGAACATATATTTTTACATTTTTTTCCCAGGAAAACTGGGAAAAAAGCACCTTATTTTGAAAAACGGAAGTTACCGCAGACTCGCAGTATTATTCTCAAACTAATTTCACCGACCTCCGAAGCTATTCCCCGAACAGTATTTAGTTTGGTCCCGTTTTATACACGTGTATCTCATAGCCAGTTTTATGGTAAGACTTCAGCATTTATCACTTTTGACCAGACCTGATACACTTAAGAAGAAAACAATAAACGGCACATAGGCGGGGAGCTTCTTTATCCACGGCTTCCACTTTATTCCACACACACCTGTGTACTGCGAACAGGATAACAACAACAACAACAACTGCTTTTCGGCAGCTACGGTAACTCTCTAGGGACACCTCACTCTAAAAGCGAATGAGATATACAGTATGAGTACATATAACAAACACAACAATCTGTTACAGTAGGAACCTTTGATCCTGTGACTGTTGAGATCGGATCATTACAGGTGCGCAACAAGGTTGGAAGGCGATGAAAAGCGGGCATTTCAAAAGTTAGTTCGCCCGACTTTATTGCTCGCTGCAGAAAAAGGAGACAGAGGCTCAAGTGAAGTTACATAAAGTATGTCATGTGGACAGTTAAATAATGGGTTGCAAGAGAGAGGTTAGTGTGACTGACGAACTTCTCTCTGGGAGACAGTTTGCCTTTACAGCAGGTGAGTGACGATAAAATCCAGGGTTTCAAAGAGTTCACGTCAATTCACCCATGTCCCTTACATGAACTGTGTCTATGATTCATTGGAGAAAAAACTGGCCACCTTTTTCTAACTCTGCCAACGCTATGCCTGATTTCTACAAGATTATTTGTAGAGGTGAAATCTGTTAATGCATGATGTTCAACACAGCCAGAATAACATGTAGGCCCTACGCCAAGATAATATGCATACAGCAGATTTTTAGCTTTATTAAGGGTGTTTGTTCACATGGCGAAGTAACTAACATAGTATCTACGTTAATATTTCTTGAGAGGTGGACAGAAGTCAAACGGGGACCGAGAAGTATAATTCCACGAAATGTCCCGACATATTGAGACTTTCTTCTCGAGAAGAAAAATAAAGAAGCTAAGTTACAGAAAGCAGATATGAATAGCAGGGGCGGTTCCAAAGGGTAGCAGGGGTGGCCTAGGCACTACTATCATGAAAAAATAAAATAAAGGCATGCAGATATATATATATTGAAAAAAAATATCTATCTATTTTATCTATCTGATAAAATGATCCTTGTATAATCCAATGAAACACATAGTAAAACACTGATTTCAGATTAAAATGAAAAAAATGGAAGAGATAAATGACTTGTTTAGGACTCAAAATTCATATTGCTGTATCCAGCAGCCGGGCCAATAACAACCACATTTGGTGGTATTTCCTCAAACACTGCAGGGTGACAAGAAAAGGACCTTTAACTCCTCAGTGTGTCTTATGTAAATATTATTGCTTCAAAGCTTAAAAGAATATTCTTTTCAGTGATGTAAGGTGTGTGAAGGTTTTACTTTGTCATATGCAAAATATACAGCCCTGCTGTACAATGTAAGAAAGTTATGAAACTGATGTCTCATATCCAATGAAATATTTAAAAACATGTAATGTGTCACCGTTTCAAATCAGACTTTTTCAAACAGTAAAAATGTATGCGGTGTTCATATCAAGTTAAATCAAACAAAAATGGCTATAAACAAATGAAAAGGTTAAATTATGTGTTATTGATGTTACATTTGAAAGCCCAGATTGAAATGGTAAGACCTGCCACTCAAACATCTGGTGGATCGTCTCGCCTCAAATCTCAGAAGTGGTCTGTCTTCAGGAAGGAGCCTGACCTGATGAAACATGCCCATAATATCCCCACTGATGGCCACTGCATACTGTCTGAAGCGCAGCAGGACAACGAGGAGGGATGCACCAAGGGTAGGACCTGGCAGAAGGGCATTGTTCAGGTTGAGGCCACAAAACTGATAAGAACAGCTGAACACGATACGGTTCTTCCCATTGTGGCAGACTGAATGATGGGGAATGAACCATGATTCATTGCCTGTGCCTGTGGGAAGGTCTGGGCTCAGCTTCTTAACTGATCCTGCTTTGACCAACTTGTTGATCTCCTCACAGTATGCTTCTGCTAGCTGTGGAGTCTTCGCCAGCCTCTTCTCCGTGCTCCTTAGACTTGGCATGACTGCCTCCTTGGTTGCTTGGAAGACAGGGGTCTGACGTTTCCGTAGCAAGGGAGTAGCATACCTTAAGATGCCTTGAACTTCCACATGGGTTGTCTTTTCCTCCAGCAGCTCAATAGCTTCGTGATCCTCTCTGGAGCGCACAACCTGCTTGTCATTTCTGAAAGGCAGCACATCCATCTGCCAGAGCCTCTCCACATTATTCATCAGTTCAGTGGTTTGCGGAGATGTTGTGGCGAAGAGGCACTGCTGATGAGACAGCGTCTGCTGAACCAGTCTGGTGGGGCCCTGCAGAGTCCATCCAAGCTGAGTACGAATCGCTGCTGTACCTCCTGGTGGACCCAACCTAACAGGCTCAACTGGGGCTAACAAGTGTGGGTGATCCACCCCTATGAGTAGAAGAGGCTTGGCTCGATCAAACAGTTGAAGGGGAAGACCTACAAGATGGGGATACTTCTTCTGTAGCAAAGTGATGGGGTAAGGGTGTTCAGCTAGACTGAGACACTTTGCTGTGAAGGCGTCCTTAATGCTGAAACTTTTCTTTGGTCGAGCAGCTGAAGATAGGTGGAATGACACACATGCCCCTCTCAGTGTCTGCACATCCTGTCTTATGGTGCGCAGGTTCAGGTCCTCAGGGGTGCCTTGTATCCCTAGGAGCTCTGCAGCCTTGGGAAGGAGCATGGTCTGTTCGGATCCATCATCCAATACAGCATAGGTTTCTAGCGTTTGATGTTGATGGCTGAGCAGAACCTTGATGACCTTCAGAAGTACTCTGCTGGAATCTGATGGGCGGTCCAGGTAGAGAACCTCAGTATTAGTACTGACTAAGCAGGTCTCCTCTTTGGGTGGCTCAGCTGAGCCTCTTTTGTTGACTTCGTGGAGGACCTTCAGGTGCTTACCTTGGCACACATCACACAGCTTCTTAAGATCGTACTGAGCTGCTTGGTGGGTTCTCGCACAGGGCCAGCATCGTCTATTTGTTCTGATCCACTCTACCACCTGTTCCCTGGTGAGTTTCTGTATGGCTGGACACCTGTTCAGGAAGTGCTTTGAGCTCTCACAGTAGGGGCAATACTGCTTGGCCTTAGTCCTCTTCTGTGACGGCACAGGAGGTTGGCTTGATGGGTTTGTGTGCCTTGGGTCTTCTGAACCATGTAACACTGTAGCTGCCTGTCTACTCTGCCGCTTGTCACCCTTGTAGCTGTGTAGCTGTCCTTTGCTTTTTGGCTGGACTTCGTAACCTTGGCACTAGGACTCGTATCTTAGCCACTTTGCCAGGTCTGTCAGGGTGTATGTTGCCCGTGGTCTCTGAAGCATTGTACGGCTAAAGTCAGCTTTAAGCTCGGGTGGGAGTTACCTACAAGCATACCTACATGCTAGGTAGCATACCTACAAGAGACTGTACCTGCAAGGCGAACCTCTCGAAGCCTGAAATGTCTCCGCGCTTGACCTCTGGTGAGTCCATAACAGTAGCTATTCTATTCAGAGCTGACCAAATTTCTCATTCAATGCTGCCATTGTGTCGGAGTAAGGTGTGGGCGAGTTAAGGTAGGAGTCGGCTACCATACAAGCCTCTTCGAGTCTCAAATGATCAGTCAGGACTTGATATTTAAAGAGCTCGGTGCTATCTGATGGCAGAAGATTCTCTAAAGCTATCTTTAGCCGGGCAAACTCCATTGGGTCCCTGTGACAGAATAAGGGAATCTTAGGCTTTGGCCCTCTGTATACTTTCTCTTCTGAAGTGAAGGCAGCGTAAGAGTGGCGATCACTTGGGAATGAAGACCTAAAGCCTTCTTGAGGACTGGGTGAATACCTAAAGTGTGGCTCAGGCTCGTACTGAGTCTTATGGCTTGAGTCACTGAAGGGGTGAGACCTGCTGAATGGTGGCAGAGGTCTTGGTAGGTAGGCTGCTCTAGGGGTAGAGCACAGGTTACCCTTGGTGGCTAAACTTGAAGTAGCACTCTGCTTTAGCAGCTGTAGCTCGCCCATCATCCTCTCGATGGCTGAAAGCATTTCGGGTTTCTCTCCCTCACTGGCTGAGGGCCATCGTGGAGGTGGTGGCCAGTCACTTTCATCACTCTCTTGATCTGTAACTGGCAGACGAATAGGTGGTGGAGGAGGAGGTAACAGCAAACCTGGGTCCTCATACGTTGCCTGGGCCCTACTTTGTGCCTTTACTCTGTCTGTAAGTGACTTAATGTCTTTCTGCATGTCTCTTAGCTAACTGATATTGTCGAATATGTGCTCTTAAGACTCACAAAGTTTCCTATTCTCAATACGAATATCCTGTAGCTCAGCCTTACACTCAGCTGTCAAGTCTCCTCTCCAAGTGGGCTCAGAAGAAGGTGGGAAGATCTCTCTCGATGCCTCACGACTCCTGTCATATCCTGTGGCGTGCCTAGGAAAGTACTCGTCCTCTTGTTCATCGAGGGCTGGGTCCCACTGCACTTGGTGCTGAGGATACGTGCTGTGTGAGTATGTGGTGGGTGTCATCTCGACCTCTCCCTCCATAGGAGATCTCCACTCTTTCCTGCTCATACATGGCAGAAGCTTCAGGAGAACAATGGTGGCTGTAACTCACTGTGTCAACTTCGTGTGTGTGTGTGTGCTATGTGGGTATTAGTGTGTGGTAAGGTTCTCATGGACACACACAATAAAGCACTCAACACAACTGGTGATTCAGGCAGAGCAGTTAACAAGGAACAGTTAACTCTCACACTCTAACTGCTTAACTGAACTACATGAGGTGAGTAGAGCTGCAC